TGACCCCACTATTAGTCGGCCAAGATTGAAGTGCATAGCACTTTTTTGTTCTGGAATAGTGGAATCTAAGTAAAAAATAAAGGTTACCCTTTGACCATTTGCATTTTACCCAATAAAGAAAAAAAGAAGAAGAAGAAGAAGAAGGAAATGATTTCAAATTTACGAACTTACTTAAAGGAACAATTTAGTGGTCTCCATTCCCAGAGATAACTGAGGCAAAAGAACCTAGCATACATCCACCTAAATAAATCAAAATTTTTAGTCTTTACAGGCAGGTTCAGGGGCAAATCAACTCTCGTGTTTTGAAAATCATAGGGAAGAGAACTCTAGATTAGGGAATTGATTAGAAACGACAAAAAGAAAACTGGAAAAGGTCAAAAAAATGCCAAAGAAAAACGACAAAAGTCAAAAATGTATAGGCAATTTCTTCGCCTGCGCATGCTAGATGAACATGTGTTTTGGAGGACACACAGGCATTCTGCTACCAGCTTCATATATTCAAAATGAGGATCTGAGCATTATGCCAGCACAAAAATCATCAGTGTTTCTTGTATGCAGAGTTAAAGCTACCTTTGGTTTTAAGCTCTCTGAAGTGCTCGAGTAATTTCTTCTTGGAAATAATGAAGTGATATAAAAATTGCTTCCTGTTTTAGCATGGAAGCAATTAGAAATACACTATGGGACATACTTGTTTTAAATATGGGAATTTAGTTAAAGGAAAATTAACTCATAAGTACCTCTGTCCTAATTGTTTGACTTCCTTGGTGAGGGCATGTGTTCAAATACAAGTCAAATACCTCAGGAGCATTCTTTCCCTGGGAAACCCAAAACCGTATTAGTAGTCTATTTCAGTGTATAATAACTAAAAAGGGGTGCGTGGTCCATTCTGTCAAGGTGAAAAAGATTTTCCTTTAGTTTTTTCACCTTCCATATTGAAGCACAGCAACAACAAAGATGGGTCAGAAATTTCATTGGAATATCAAGTTGCAGCATTTGTTAAGAAAAAGGCCAAACTATCTATTTAAACCCTGGCCATTATTATTTTCTGCAATCAACACTCTCTAGAATTTTCAGCCCTGATCAACACTTTTCATAATTTAAAATCCATAAAAAAACCTAAAATTAAAGACCAGGTCACATGCAACTCAGGGTGCAAATAGGGGGTTTGGTTGTTAATTTTTGGGTTTTTTATAGGTTTCAAACTCTGGAAGGTGTTGACTGTGAAAGACAAAGATGTTCAATGTGCAAATAAGAGGTTTGGCCTAAGAAAAATTGTTAAACTTCTAACAATTAAAATAGTACACCAGGCAGTAATCCCAAACAAATGACAATAAGAAGTGTGGCTTGTTAGTTCTGGGCCCAGGGGTCAGGGGGAGATTCATATTATGTTACTGCATTTGTTTTCAGAATGTATTATCAATTTTCTTTTCATTATTTCAGTTATTTCCTTGTTTACAAAGAGAAACTGAAAAAAAATGAGAAAGGATGTAAGGCCAAAAGGAACAGGGTGGGTAGGGCATCTAACTTCTGCCCACTTGCAGGTTTTTAATAAGTATCCCATACTTGACCTTCTCCATACCCCACAGGCACATTGATGAAGATGGTCTTTAGATTTCCGTTCCAAGAAAGTTCAAGCGTTGAAAACATTTACGGAATTAATTTGTCATTCACAACTTTTTTTTCACATGACAAGAAACAACTATAAAAATGGCACCTGGAGTAATCCACCCCATTTCAATCATGTGAAGAAACCCTAAACAAAGTAAGTAAAGTTGCACATTACCACACCTGTAGATTATCATCTTCTTCAACGCTCTCTTTCAAGCCAGCAAGTCCACCAAAAGCAATCAATAAATGCCTGCCACATTATTATTATTATTATTATTGGTACATCTGATGATGGGCTATACAAGAGAGGATAGCCCTCCCCTATTCCTAAATCCCTCCCCACCCAACTCAAGGTTCGAACTTGAGATCTCCAACTTGGAATCTCAAGTTCTTACCATTGAGCCACCCCATTGGATTAACCAAAAGCAATCAATAAATGCCTGCCACATTATAAATACACAATCATGTTTGCAACAACTATGGATTAATGAAACAGCATAGTGCCATTGTGAGTGCAACATATATTTTATGCTACCGCATGCCTAGTAAAATTTGAATAAATAAAACTTGAGGTGGAGAGTTAAAGACGCCAAAACTGATGCATCAGAAAAGCTATGTCAAAACAAAGGCTCAGACCTCAAATGGTACCATGGTAAAGTGTCCTCTGATGGTATTGCCCCCATCTAAACCCCACACAAAATTCTCCAACATACAAGTTTCTATATGGTATACATTAAAATGTTTATAACTTCTGGTTTTCTGGTGGGTCAGTATTGAATTATAGGGAAGTAACCACCCCTATCACTATAACCATGCACCAATGTATATTGTGACTATCGTGGGAAATCCATCTTATGAGAAACTAATGCTCTGTTTGGATTGAAGTAACTGGAGGGAAAGCAAGGGAGGCGTAATTTCTTCTCAACAAGACCCCATATGGTAGCAATATCATGGTTAGGCTTGGATCTTCTTGACCAACATCTTCTACATACATGTAGGAGTATCAGGGCACTATGTTGACCAGCTAAGTAGACAAAGGAAGTAGTACACTCTAGCATACAACAAAAGCATAGTATAAACCTGTATTCTAACATAGAACAAAAGCAAACCTGAAAGCAGGTATTGTAAGCTGTGATGAACTAATAATCAATCCATGTTCTGAAGTACCAATCAAATGATCATAGCCACCCTCTGATCAACATAGTGGAAGCAAGCCTTTTGCCAGCATTTATCAAAAAACAGACAATTCTTCAGAAATTTAAAGAGGCAGAGGAGGTGGGATGGAAGAATACTATCAAAGCATAAACACCTTGTATGGGCAATCCTTGAACACTGAACTGATATTTGAAGAATATCGTACTTTATACCACCAATAATTTCCTGCATCTTCTCTGGGCTTGGATGAGGAGACAACCTGGCATTGTAAATCTAGAAAAATGAAATATAAAATAAAAAAGCTCATGTATTGCACAAGATACTTTATAATCCTAATGCACAAAAGCTATTCAAGGAGAAACTTGATAAGTCTGACTAATGAAAAATGAGCGTCAATTTACTATGAGAGAAGGAAAGTTTCAAATTTTAAGCTTAGAGAAATTATTCATTCAGCAAGGCTGCAAGAGAGAAACAAACTTCATGCAGAATTCAAGTTTGATCTGAATTCTCTCATTGCTAAAAATCAGCAGTCCAGAATAGCAAAAATTACCTTCACTACCCAGCACTGGTTCAGTAGCATGTGGAAATTACCTTCATTAATTCTGTTCCAATATAATAAGAGATGGAACAAAGGATATAAAGCTTAAGTTCAATAAGCAAATTAAGCTTAAAACTCCAGATAGTTCATCAAAGCAAATAACCTCCAAGTCAAATCAAACATCACATGACTCCTTGACAAGAAAAATAAATAAACTAAAACCCATGGACCATATTTCCATAAAGAAGACAAAAGATAACTCAAGTTAGATTCAAAAGTCTAAACAGGTAATGTCAACTTATTACCAGAATCCAAGTTGTGGTTTGTTCCCATAGCAACAGTTACTCTCATTCCAGGTTCAAGTTCTTGCTCCACCATAACATTCTGCATAGAATAACATTAAATCAACATAAAGAAGTCATTCTAAACGTTATATTCTACTGTTTCATTATATTGAACTCCTATGCAAAGCAACTTGTCATTTACAACTTTATGCTTTGAGTTAATGATAGAGGATTTAGGTTAAAAGAATTAAAAAATTAAAAATAAAGGTTGTAGAGGGACAAAAATGAATCCCAAAATGGGCTATATCTACTAGAAAGGAGATACCTTACTTAAACCTACACCAACCTCTGTCGCTGAAGAGTTTGTAGCCTTTTCTTTAAGTGTGATACCTATAAGGTTCACAAAAAATTACAATTCAAAATAACTAAGGGTTAGTAACACAATTGCTTGTGATCAACTACATCCATTCAACATATAAGACTCCCCAGATAAATTATAGCTCCATCTGTTTTGCATGCAGCAACTTTATAAGAAATTATAAGTATGAAAAGTTGAATGTGTCCATCCTCTTACTAAGAAGTGTTACTGCAAGTAGTAAAATGAGAAGCAAATTAAGCACATAGACATATTATAAGTATAAAACCTACCTTCCCGATAGGGAGCCCACTCGTGCTTGCGTAGATGGTGTGGTGCATCGAGTGGGGGCAACATACCCTGTAAAAGTGTAAGCAAGCACACAGAAAAACTTCAATTCATTAGAATCAAAAAATGGAAAAAAAAACAAGCAGTTTATCAAGTATCAAAACCACATTGTAGGAAATAGATATGATTCAAATGGATGTCTGAGACAGAGTAAAAGGGTTTGTAAAGGAAAGGTCTTCTCCCATGTCAAGGAGAATTGCAGCTCAATTGGGATTAGAAATTTTATGTACAGCTAAGGTTTGAACATACAGTAGTTTAGGAGTTGTTTCATACTTTGTACTGACATTAATAGCAGCCTTAACCAAAAGAGCTGCTTTGTGTAAATTTTGGTGATTTTGGTAATAAATTCACATTTTACCCAAAAAAAAAAAAGAAAAAAAAAAAACCACACTGCAGGAATTCAGCACGCACCACAAATCTTAAGCTATCATGCTTAGGGAACAGAGCTTTTCTTAGATATTGGGGCGTGTCAAGATACCTCAAAATCCTTACAAGGAAAGCAGCACCACTTTCATTCTCATACGATTGATTCGATAACATAACATGGGCATCATTTCCAGAATTGATCTTATTACCAAACACTACAACCTGCTTACACAAGAAACAGAAACACTCACCTTCAACAAAATCCAGTAACCTCATTCACTTGTACTGCAAAACTTCTACATTATATAACTAATTAACCACAAAAAAAAAGCCGAATTAAACACTTAATGATTTAAACAAGAACCTCGTCAATTCGAAAAATCGTTGCGGCACGAGCAATCTGACCCGCCAACTGAGAAAAGACAAAGTATCAACTAATGATCCGATAAAAAGAGAAGTAGTAATGGAAATGAAAAGATTACAGAGATAAGAGTGTGTACTCGAGGAGCGAGCTCGAGAGATTGGGCGTTGTGGATGATGGAGCCGGCGATGGCGATGCTAACAGTACTGCTTTCTTTTGCTTTCTTGTTCTTTTTCTTCTCCCTCTTCTTTGAGTGTTGAGAATCTCCATTGACGAAATCAAGGTTTTGGTCTTCAGTTATGCGTTCTTCTGAGTTCTTCGCTCCGGTTTCTGGTTCTGCCTCTGCTCTCAGGGGCGGACCCAGAATTTTTTTTGGGGGGAGACGATGTAATTTTTTATATACTAATTCATAAAATTTTTAAATTTAAGGGAAGCCGAAATAATTTTTCATATACTAATTTATAAAGATTTTTAAATTTCAGAGGGGCGAGCGCCCCCCCTGGCAACCCCCTCCCTCCGTCACTGTCTGCTCTCTTCTTCCTTTTCGCCATATCTGAGAGCTCAATGGCTTTCTCTGGTGGTAACTAGTAAGCAACTGAAACTCCGCCTAAACAGGGTCTTTGGGCATTCCGGTCCGGGCCATAGGCCGTGTTTGAAAGCCTTGGCCGAAAGAAAATAAAAAATGATTTAGTGAAACCTTTTTGTATTATTTTTTTTAATGATTTTATGTATTATTTAAATAATTAATTTTTTTATTCATTTAAGACTCTTCATATTAAATATATTTATTAATTTAATTATATATAAAAATTATATAAAAAATAATATAAAAAATTATTTTTACATCACCGTCCAAAGAAAATTAAATCATGTTGTAACTCTAGTTTTTTTTTAAAGTATAAAATTTACATAAAATATTAATTAAAATCACTAAAATTATATAAAATATTAATTAAAATTAATTATTTAAAAAATAAACTATTTAATTATAGAGTATTAAATAAAATTAATTATTTATAATTAAGATTAATTATTTATAAAACATTTCCAAATTTGAATCCGAGACCAAAGGCTGTTTGCCTGAAAAGGCATTTCCATTAGAAAATATGGTGGCAAGGGTTTTGGCGGCACGATCACATATTGAAAACATTTAAGGCTTTAAAGTACGTTGGCCATTGTTGATTTTAAGTCATGACCAATGCAGGCCGAATCCTTGAGGGAAGAGCTATTTGTCAATATGAAAAGCAGATTTAAGGTATTACACAAGTGCAAGGTAATTTCTCCAATTGATCTCTTTTTTCTTTCCGCAGATCTTATGGCTTGACATGCACTGTTCAATTTGATGTCACGTCCTATCAAAATGGTCAAAAGCCAGTATAGAAAAAGAGATACAAAAGGAGAAGCTTCAAAAGATAAAACTAAGAACAAATAATAATCACAATTTTACACTAAATCTTGATGTTCAGATTACAAATCAACTTTACTAGAGGAACTTCTAGATATGCTGTAAAAATCTAAGAAAATAATAGAGGTGTTATCCTTTGTTCGCTGTGCTCTAGCCTCACTCAACAAAAAATTAGCAATCTTCTCTGCTGAATTTTCTTCTCTAGGATATCTTTCCCTTGTCTGTGCAGCTCAGAAATTGTTACTTGGTTAAAATGACACTCGAGAAAGGAAAAATTCGTATTCAGGAGGGTAGTAATAGTTAATTAAAGTTATGTAAAATAAAGTAGTACCTGCATGACTAGCTGAACTGCTTTCTTGACACTAATAACATCCCAGAAGCCGTCACTGCAATTGATGCAGATAAACCATTTTAAAATTTCACTAAAGATTGATGAAGAAAATTGAAAGTATGATAAAAAGAAACAAAATGGTTTAAATGAAAAGGAATGTAGTGGGAGTGATTCAAGGATAGCAGCTTTATGATAGGTCACTCTTCACAGAAATGATTTAAATGGAAAAACTAGGTATGAACTATCACCTTAAACATGCTAAAACAAGAACTGTGGAATGAAAATGTGTTCTGAAGACAAGAACATATAGCCATAATGGTCTTGATGCACTTTAGCCCACAAAAAAATAGAAGAATCACCTTGCTAATAGTGCAAAGGCCCCACTTGTTTTATTGATATGCATAGCAGGACTTATGTAAGGCTCTGAACTGAAGCGTGAATCCTGCTGTTTCACAAATTTGTCGCCAAGCATCCTAGCAAGGTTCAAACCTGAACAAGGGATAAAAGAATAACTGATGGGAAATATTTAAAATACAAATTCTTTGTGGGTGTACAACAATTTCAAATGAATGGAGAAATTTTGCACTTGCCGCATAGCCGTGTTTCCCCCTCTTTTAATGGTTCTCCACTTTCTTGAATTCGAAGTCTTTCAGAGTGACTAGTAATTTTATGGTCTTCTGTCATTTTAATCTGCTGACCATCAACACTGAGCCATTGAAATCTGTTTAATTAGTTGCATGGTACCAAAGGCATAAGATTGCAAAATTCACTTCAAATAGACCATGAGGATAATGATCATGTATATACAACAATAACAGAGACCACAATTGCACTACATTGGTCCTAATCAATAAGTATAGTCATCAAACTTAGAATAAGACTGCAACAATCAGCCAACAACTCCTGCTTTCATAGCTTCAAGCGACCTTCATTGTATATTATCTTATTATACCATATTAAAATAAGGGTTTTTCTAAAAGGTTAAGGATGCAATTAATGCACCTTTTTACCATTAATTTGTACAGAAAATTACAAAAATTGACCTTTATTTAATCAATTGTCCAATTAAAACATCCACTCCAGGTAGCTTTTTTCATAATAAGCAACTTTTTTAGTGTAAACTGTCATAATTTCACCAACAGTTAACACTATTGCCAATAACAAAAATAGCTGAAACATTCTTCATCTGCTTGCCTTGCAGGGAGTCATCCAACACTCTAGGTAATAGAGATTTTAATGAAATAAAAATATATTAGCTCCTACTAATAGAACAATAACAAACATAAAAAACATACTCGATAATACAAGCTGAATCTCCAACATTAGCACATTGAGCAAAGAAATTTTCATCATCATCAGCCCAAACTAGAAGCACCGTTGCTGTACAACCCTGCAAGGAACTAATCATTTCAAAATGCAAACACTAATGCTTGATTCCTTAACAGCAGAAACAATTTTTAGTTTAAAAGTATATGTCCAGCAATATTTCGGGTCAGGAAGAGTATATTCAGCAGCTTAAAATTATGTTATTACGATATATATGTTTGTTGTGAGAAATATTCCTTCACTGTCAAGTGTCAAATGCAAATAACAAAGCAATAATATGCTGTTGAATTTGAATGTTCTAAGGGAGTAAAAGGCAATCAATACATGAAAAAAGGAAAATTATTATACAAAGTGAAGATCAACAAGACGCAAAGTCAGAGAGTTGAAAAAATTGCATCCGGGCATGTTATTTAGCATTAGATTCGAACAAAAGAGAGTGATAGTAAGCCTACAAAAATGCTATTAGAAAAGAGCAAATGAAATAACAAAGGGTGTTAAGATAAACAAAGGCATTCAATGCTTTGCACAGACAACATTAAATTTACTAACTATAAGATAATGGAAAATGCATAGATGTTAAGAAAAGGAAACAGAATTAAGAAAGAAAAATAAACCTCATAGTGATGATTCATGCATGCCTCTGTTTGAGAAAATGCATCTTTAAGAACATCAGATGCATCACATTGTGACATGACCCTCTCTCTTTTTTGAGAATCTGACAAAATAGTAGCAACCATCTCAGGCAGAGTCCTGGACATCAGATTGTTGAAATTTTAGTCCAGCAGTCGTATCAAATCAACATATCAGCTAAAACAGGCATGATTAAGGACAAGATTGAGAAAGCTCATCCAATAAATCTTTTAGAGATTTGAATGAAGAAAATCACAATGACAAGAAAACACACTAAAGAAGAAATGAGAATACTAACTTGCTCACAAATTTTGCAGCTTCAGCACCACCATGGCCATCACAGATACCGAACACTCCAAACTGCAACATTGGCATTTATAAGTACTCAGTTACTTCTGAAAGATGAACAAAAATATCCACGAGAACAAAAATTATTAATTTTAAAACCTGATTGACACCAGGAAGAGGCCATTGATAATAGCAAACATCTTCCATTGGAAGCTTCTTTCCTCCTCTGCGCAAAGCCATAGGATCTGAAGCCAAACCAACTCCAAATGGCATCTGGCGCTGATCTTGAGATGAAATATGAACCTGCATTACAAGAATAGAATGGATATTTAGAAAAGAAGAATCACACATTATAAACTAAAAACCAGCTGCAGATGTTCAAACATTGTCATACCTGCAATGCACAAATGACAGAAAGAAATTACTGAAAAAAACAAAAATCCAGTGGACGGGTAGAACTTCCACCTAAACGTATCATTAACCAAATAGGATTTCATCCCACAGGATAGAAACCATTCAATATTTTTCTGTTCAGAGATGGCGCCACATGGATGTTGTTTTCTCCCAGCACTCTCTAAGTATAACTACGAGAAAATGATTCTCCCCGAAATAAATAAATTAACAATGGAAAGTTTTTTATATTGTTCACATATCAAAAGGATGTGCCTTGTGATTTGACACTTCTCCTGCCCTCTCTCTTAATAGAGTATTTTATATCAAAAGAAAAATAAAACTATCAAGATATATATGGATAATAATCAGACCAACATCTAAGAAAGGCACACAAGAACATAAGACACATCCAAACTTAAGTTCTCTTTCACATTAATCTTATAAAAGAAATTTCTGAAATAACACAAAGCTTTATCAGAAAAAAAAAAAATGATAACAATAACAACAAAAATATTACTAAGAGTAATAATAACAGTAATAGTAATAATGATAACAACAACAACAACATGCATGACCTTCATATTACAAAGAAGTTGATGATATGCCAAAGCAGAAAATTATTTCCCCTTGTTTGTTTAGGCATACCCCAGCAATTATCAAGATCATTGAAATGCTGGAGAAAATTAAGCCACAACTGTACAGAAGAAAAATACAATTATTCCAAGTAAATAGAGAAGTTTGTCAACTTACATGAATATTTGAGGTTGTCCCAAGCGTTATTATGTCTCCACTAGAAAGCTCCATTGGATTACCCCAATGCCTTCTTTCAGAATCCGGATGGTTGATTGGCTGAGAATTCAATGATGTTCCATTTAGGCTACCCATATCTACCAGCTCCCATTTCATTTTCTGAAACCAAAGGAGCAAGTTCACTGTAAGGATGTATTGTACATACAGCATACAACTTCATATGCAAAATAACATGGTAAAATCACAAGAAATTTACATTAGGATTCCAGTTTATCATAGCATGCTTCCCAGAAACCTCAGAATCTTTCAATAGTAAGTCACTTGGAGGAACTCTTCCGAGAGTCAGCGGAAGCTTGGAAGAACTTGTTGACAGTACAGAATAACGAAATCCACAAGAAGGACCAGAGACAACCTCAAGAGACAGGCAACTTCCTGCACTTCTAACAGAAAGATATAATTAAATGTTTTAAATATTCAGCAAAGAAAAGGACAAAGCAAAATACAACCACCATGCATAAGAGATAGAACGAGGAAATTACTTTGATCATGGATAACCTTGGGCGGATAATCCAGAAATTTATCATTTTTGACACCAAATCTCAACTTGTCAATTTGATCTTCCTGCCTGACATGTTTTTGCTCTTCAATTAACTGGTCTGTCCATGCTGGATGCTTAATTGTCTGACCAATCGATGCATCCTCTGATGCATCAGATATCACATCTAGAATCAAGCTATCACCTTGCAAAGTGCATACTGCATCATTAGAACCTTTCAAACTTTCTTATGATACAAATGGGGAAAAACATGAAAAGACAATGGGAAGGAAAAAGTTAAAGCCTAACTACCAAGAGTAACAAAAATATGGGAAAAAGATGGAAATACCCTGAGTTGAATGCGAAGGTGCAGAAGGAAACCTCTGTTTGTGAACAAGCCCCTGAGTACGAGCTGATCGCAAATCATTTTGAAAACGAGCACCGCCCAAGTCATAATTTCTGATCACATCATTGTCCTCTTCTTGAGCTTGATCTACATCATCTGACACAAGCGGCCTATCTAAATCACCAACCTATAAATAAACATGCAGGATCAAAATGTGTCAGAAACACAAGAGTTAAAAGGAAAGCCTATATATTTCAAAGTACAAAGAAATAAACAGAATTTTAATAAAATATGCATACGCCATTACAGTTTAAAGATCTAAGTACATAACCAAAAGTTATACAAACATATTTTATGGAAATCAATCAGGTTTCCAATGCAGAGGCAAAACTGTCCTGTAGACTGCACAAACTTAATGACGATGTGATACAGACCAAGTCATCAACCAATCTTTAGTGCACTTGGAATGGATAACACTATCTCAATGAATGCATCGTAAATCATGCAATGCATTTTCCAATTCAATTGATTTCCTCACATGAAAGCCAAATAGAAAACAGATAGATGCCTAGTGCCAACTTTAATAGCAATCAAGCTATTTCGAATAAAAACTCACGCAGCGATTAGTGATTCCTTGGATATAATTTATTCATGTATCAATCAACCTACAAATCATAAATTACCTCAATCTCTAAATTAACACACAAAAGATAATAATAATAATAATAACATCCAGAATCAATAAACCCCCTAAGCATCAACAGAAACGAAGACTAACAAATAAACCTCGAATTCTCCAGCTCAATCTTACATTTAATATCACAAATAAACCTAAATCAAAGATCATCCAGAGATTTCCAATACAATCTGACAACGTGCTTAGCTAAGCTAAGCTCTAAATCGCCGACTACAACACGAAAACACATGTAGCTTTCCTCCATTCAAAATCGACATTTCCGACCAGAGAAACCATGGATCAAGAATCCCGATGCCAACAATCAGAGAAGCCCAAAGAAAGAATGGAGGTTACCTTGACGGTGCGGGAACGAGAGAGGAAGACGAAGCGCCATGGTTTGCAGACAAGAAGAAAGACGATGAGGAGGATGAGAAACAGCATAAGGAGGAGAGCGAAAACGACAATGCTCACTAGCATCGCCATCGTTATCGCGCTCTCTCTCCTCTCTCATGAGAGTTCAGATTTGGGCTATACGCGTTCGTTCGCGAGAAGGTCGCTTTGAAATGGTCGCACCTCATTTTTCTTTCTTCCTTTTTTTAATCTATTTGTAATTTCGTCCGTTTTATTTAGTTATCATTGGGTAGACTACACTTCTTCCTTGTAGTTTAGATCTTTTGCACTTTACACCCCATAACTTTTAAAAGTTGAACATAATTTACGTATATGCTTTATTTCTGCCAAAACAAGTTAATTTCGAATTCCAAAAATGATTTCAATCATTTTCCTCTCTCAAACATGATACCAATCAATAATATGTGTAGGTGACGATAGATCCTAAGCAATTATTTTATTATTGTAAAAGATTAAGGGGGCATTTAATTTAAAAATTAAAAAACAATTATCAATTATTAGTTTTAATTAAATAATTTAAATATTTTAGATTGAAAATAATAACAATGATCAATCATTGAATATTAACTCTCAATTATCAATTGTATCAAAATAGTCAATCCAAACACGTCCTAACAATCTTCTGTTGGAAGATACATTTTTATTTTTTATTTTTCTAATCAAATTCAAGTGTTAGGTATGTGATACATTTGGACGATGTATGAACAAAACATATGATCAAGATAAATAGAAAGCAACATCTCCATATTCAGACATGATCAAATGATGGCAGTTGGACACGATGATGAGAGATGATCAAAAGAAACAACTAAAATGAAAGGCTTAGCCATGATTAAAAGGTATTGATCATGTCTTGAAACTATGGATGTGTCCAATTATCGGTGGAGAGAAGGGATAAGATGGTATGCTCGTCCCTAAACTTTTAAAAATTTGCATTTTAATATACGTAGAAGGTTTTTATATTCTCTTCAAGTTTTTAAAATTTTATATTTTAGTACATATACAATGCCTGTTGGACTTGGTTATATTCATTGTTCTAGATGTGTGATTGCAATTTCACATATGGATTTCATGTTTAATTTTAATTCTTTGAAATGAAGATTACAACAAGATATTCCATAATAATCACTTTGAGAATATGAATTGAAGTGCATTGCTAATTTTGTGAAGGTGGGAGTTTATGTGAGTGTTGTACAATGAGAAGGTTTTCCTTTTTGAGTAGGAGAATAGGCATCTAATCCTAATTTTGGGATTTCAAGCATTAGGTGAATTAGGCATTTAATTAGCCTTCCAAAGTAGTGAATTGAGATTGCCTTTAACATTGTGTCAAGTTTTACTTTTGAAGCAAAATTATACCAAGGAGGACTAATATAAGAGTGGTCTTGAAACTTGTTGCACATTTCTAGATACATCCATTTATCATATTTTTTATTAAGTAGCATTGTTTATTTCTTTCTCTAGCATATTTCACTAATCCCTATCAATGTTAGCTAGCATAAAAACTTAGTATTTGAATTTACTCAATTTTACTCCTTATGAAAAGTGCAAGAGGTTTTGTTCTTAATAAATTAGTTCTTTAATGTTTTAGATGTTTGTAATTTATTAGTTAACTAGTAGAAATTTTTTGTAGGTAAAAGAATATTTAAGAAAACAACTACATATCAATTCATTTTTAAAGAAAAAAAGAGAAATAGTGATAACTTTTGATTTGCTTCATGCCCCCTCACAAAGAGAAAGTCTAAAATGTCTCAAGTATACCACATTAGTGGTATCCCAAACCAACAAAAAAGCAACATGTCAACATTAGTTATCTAACTCATCAAAGTTCAAAAGCAGGCATTTAACGTAAAACCAAGAAGTCATTAACGTTGTTTACAACAAAAAAAAGGCCCTCACTTCCCACAAGGTTAATTTATAACGTTTCCCCCTCTCCTCTATGACAAAAAGCCACAAGCCACAGCACCATTGTTCTCCATCTCGATTTTAGGTGGTAGGTTTAGAGACAGATAGCCATGGGCTATCAGTTATTACGATGATTAATTGTATCGTGTTGGAGTCATGAGGTGCTTGATGAAGAATTGGGGATCCTGATGTTGAGTTGATAATTGAGAGAAGGAATTTCTAAGGCACCCTGGCCAAAAAGAAGAGAGCGTTCATGCAAAATTGGGTATTTCTTTCTCTTTTATTGTGTATATTCATCAAAGAAAGTTTAAGAAACTAATTTCTCTTTTGAAGTAATTTAAATCTATTTAAACCCTCAAAATGAATTTATGATGCTGTTAGGTTTAAACTTCAGGTGAGAACCTTGTCTAAGCAATGATACTATTTGATCAAGACAAGAATTTTAAATGAAAAGAAGTATTTTGCGCTGATGTTTTTTCAATTGCTTAAGTGGTGAAATAGATTTATGTTACCATTGAACTATTTCTATTATATTTTGTTGTGATTTAAGGGATTATTTTGATAATTATTCTTTTGCAATGTTATTTGCCTAGTACTTTGTCTTCAAATCATAGATTTAAGACCCTACACATGGTCACAAAAGAAAACATCTAATGGAACTTTAAATTGATGATGTTTTAGCTAAAATTATGGTTTGTTTTTAATATATTTTTCTTGAAAAGAAATAAAAGTATCAATCTTTAGTTTCAAATGAAATTTGTAAATTCTCAAAGAAGACCTTGATCAAGATTTGTGTTGCTTTTCAATTATCTAGCCAACAAAATCATATTCAACTAGTATAATTAATTGAAAACTTCATAGAAATCATGCAAAACAAACAAACTCCAAAATCACAAATAAACCCAATCAACTAGTTTGCCACAATAACTCTAAAATCATCATCAAGTTAGAAAAGAGTTGAAAAGAAGATTTCAAATAGATTGAAAATTTTGAAATTACCTAAAAAAAACAAGAAATTAATTTCTTAAACATTTTTAGGGTAATACAACTACAGAGAGAGAAAAACCAAATTTGGCTGGTACTCTATTTCCCTCTTCAGTTTAAGGTACCTTAGAAATCCTCTCTCTTGCTTATGCATTTGAATACCAAGATCCCCAAATTTTCATCAAGCTACTACTTGACTCCAATACAACATATAATCAACAATAGCACAAAATGATAGCTCATAGCCATCCACCTCTGTAACTCCTTCTTGGCAAAAGATGAAGAGATCCCTCTAAACTTGTGGGAAGCAAAGCAAGCAGCTTTTTATTTTTTCATAAAAAAAATGTTAACATTTTTTTGTTTAACGTTAAATATTTACTTTTGCACATTAATGAGCTGAATAACTAACGTTAACATATTACTTTTTTGTTGGTTTGAGATACCACTGACATGGTGTACCCATGATATTCTAGACTTTCTCCCTCACAACATAAATTTCTAGTTCGGCCCGTGTATGATTAAATGTGATCAAACTGTGCATGTTTACAAGCTAAAGCTCAATTATGGCTTACATGCATCTTTTAAGAGTCCTAGGGAGCAAAATGAACATAATCAAAACTACTAGAGTGGAGGTGCAAATTTGCCATTCAATTTGTTTGGTACAGTGTCATTGTTTCCAACCTCCATGATTGCCGTTTTATTTTATTTTATTCATATTTGCTAGGCGACGCCGTTTTCAAATTCCGTGTAGTAATTAATGCTGCCACGTCCATATCTA